CAGAGTGTTCCATCTCGTTTCCCTTTGGGGTTGCTGTAGGTGATCTGGAAGTCTGTTTTTGAGGCTTGTTTATGTGTCTTCTCATTTCCACAGGGGTGGGGGGGGGTGCTTCTGGTGCCCACGCGGCTCACCTTCTCTGCCCTAGGAGCTTGGGATGGCAGCAGGGGAGCTTCCTTCCGGGTGGTGGGACCAGCTCAGCTTCTCTGTCCTAGGAGCTCGGGATGGCAACAGGGGAGCTTCCTTCCAAGTGCTGGGACCGGCTGAGCTTCACTGCCCTAGGAGCCTGGGATGGAGGTGGGGAGCTTCCTTCTGGGTGCTGGGACCAGCTGAGCTTCACTGCCCTAGGAGCCTGGGATGGAGGTGGGGAGCTTCCTTCTGGGTGCTGGGACCAGCTGAGCTTCACTGCCCTAGGAGCCTGAGATGGAGGGGGGGAGCTTCCTTCCGGGTGCTGGGACCAGCTGAGCTTCACTGCCTTAGGAGCCTGGGACGGAGGTGAGGAGCTTCCTTCCAGGTGCTGGGACTGGCTCACCTTCTTGGCCCTAGGAGCCTGGGATGGCAGCGGGGGAGCTTCGTTCCGGGTGCTGGGACCAGCTCTGTTGTACAGTTTTTAAGTGATGTAATCCCAGTTGTCTATCCTTGCTTTTGTTCCCTTTGCCTTTGATATATTGTACAAGAAATTATTGCCAAGTCCAGTTTTTCCCTAACCTCTATTTTAGGAGTTTTGTAGTTTCAGGTCTTCATGTAAATATTTAGTCCATGTTGAATTAGTTTTTGTGTATGGTACATGTAAGATAAAGATCCAACTTCATTCTTCTGCATATAGATATTCATTTTTCCCAACACTGTTTGTTGAAGAGACTGCCATTCCTCATTATGCAACCTTGGCACCCTTGTCAAAGATCACAAATATACATGTTTATGTCTAGGTTCTGTATTGTTTTGGTCTTATAAGTCTGTCTTTCTGCCAGCACTGCCTGATTTTTGATTATTGTAACTTTGTAGTAAGTTTTGAAATCAGATAGTGTGAGGCCTCAAGCTTTGTTTTTCTTTCTCAAGATTGTTTTTGGCTATTTGGAGTCTTAGATAGTTCATATGAGTTTTAGGATTTTTTTTCTATTATTGTAAAAACTGCTATTGGAATTTGATTGTTTTGGGTAGAATGGACATTTTTGCAATATTAAGTCTTCCAACTCATGAGAATGGATGTCATTTGTATCTTCTTTAGTTTTTCCACCAACACTTGCTTTCTGGGTTTTTTTGTTTGTTTATTGTTTTTATAGTTACTAGCCTAATGGGAGTAGTGTAGTATTAATAGTTTTGATTTGCATTTCCCTCATGATTAGTATTATGGAACATCTTTTACATGTGCATTATAATCATCTTGGAGAAGATGGGCAATATAAGAAGAGAGATGATAAATTCTAAGGAAGAATCAAAAAGATGCTACAGATAAAACACAAACAGTATATAGGTTGGGTATCTCTTATCAAAATGCTTGAACTTGTAATTGTTTCAGATTTCAGCATTTTTTAGATCTTGGAATTTTACATAAATTTTATTGGTTGAGCAGCCCTAATGCAAAAATATGACATCTGAAATGCATAACCTTAGTATCTGTGGACTAAGAATATACATTCTTCTCAAATGCACATGTTACATTTACTAAAATAGACCACATTCTATAGAACACACCTTAACTAGTGTAAAGTAGAAAACATATGTCTGCTTTCAGGCCACTGTGGAATTAAATTAGAAATCAATAACAGAAAGATACCTGGAAGATCTCAAAATACTTGGAAATTATACAACACACTCCTAAAGAACATATGGGTTAAAGAAGAAATTGTAAGAGAAATTTAAAAGTATTTTGCACTAGGTGAACATGGAAACAAAGCTTATAAAAATTTGTGGGATACAACAAAAACAGTGCTTCAATAGTCTAACCTTTCACTGTAGGAGTAGGAAAAGTAAATTAAGTCTAGTATAAGCAGAAGTAAAGAATAAAAATTCCTGAAAACAGGAACTTGGTAGAGAAAAATCAACAGCCTCAAAAGCTTCTTCTTTGAAAAAAGAAATCAATAAAAATAAGCCTCTAGCCAGGCTAAAAGAAAAAAAAAGAGGACCCAAATTATTAATATCAGAAAAGAGACATTATTATACATCAGTAAACTGCATGAATAGTAAAAGGATACTAAATACTATAAACAACTTTATACCTACAAATTTGATTACTGCAATGAAATGGACTAATTCCTTGAAAGACAATCTGATAAAACGCAAAAAAGAAGAAATACGTGGATCTGCATGATACTGTATCCATTTTTAAAAACTTAATAATAACCTCCCCAAACAGAAATCACTAGACCCAGATATGTTCACTGATGAATTCTACCAAATATTTAAGAAAGAAATTATACTAGTTCTCTGCAATATTTCAGAAGATAGACACAGAAGGAATATCTCAAAACTCATTCTTTAAGGCCAGCATTAGCATAATAACAAAATTAAAGGCATAGGAATACAATGGATCACTATCTCTCATGAAAACAAATGCAAAACTTCTTTTAAAATATTAGTAGATTGAAGTGAACAATGTATAAAAAACAATTACATACCACAACTAAATGGAATTTATCCAAGATGTGCAAAGCTAATTCAGCTTTAGAAAAACACACTAATGAAGAAAAAAGTGATCGTATTAATAGATGCAAGAAAAACATTTGACAAAATTCAATACCCAGTCATGAAAAAAACTCAGTAAAATTAGGAATAGAAGGTAACTTCTCAGGGCCAGGGATTTAGCTCAGTGGTTTCGCTGCCTGCTACACAAGAGTAAGGACCCGAGTTCGATCCCTGGTACCCCAAAAAAAAAAAAGAAGGTAACTTAGCTCTAACTTGATAAAGAATATGTAAAAAATTAGCACCTTACTAAGTGATGAGAAACTAGAGGTTTTCTCATTAAGATCAGGAAGAAGGCAAGGATGTCCTCTCATCACTCCCCCCACCCCCACTTTTTTTAAACTTGGGATTGAACCCAGGGCCATTTTATTTTGGTTAGCTTTCTAGCTCTGAAGAAGTGGACAGCTGACTTGTGGCTGCTTAATCCTTGGTTAGTCCAAATGTGTTATACAGTTATTCCTACAGTTGCTATCAGGCAAGGAGGGAGGAGATAAGATTGGATGGTGATTATTAGATCAGATAGTGGGAAAAGACTAGGATTGGCTGTAAGCAGGTCCACGTCATTTGCTATCACTTGTGGATTTGGCCAACATCAGGGATAAGATGGCCCATACCAAAAAGCTTAGGAAAAGTTTTTTTTTCTGAGACATGTTCTTAGTATTTTTTTAAGCCTAAGAAAGGGCTGCAGGCTGAACATCTTAGATATTTAAAATTCTACATGCCAAACTCTGTTTATGCACTAAACAAATGAACACATCTTTCAAAATCCTTTGATACCTAACTATTTTTTTTTACACCTTTACAGACAAAAAATGGAATCTAAAGTTTGTACAGAAGCCATCAACAAATTTTATGTTAATATTAAAGAAGAACTCATCAGAATGGTAAGTTCACTGAAGTAAATTTGTTAATCTAAATTTTTAAAACTAATCCTGAGGTAGCATACTGTTGTCCTAGAAGAGCTTACGTTTGCCGGCAATATGGTATATGGTAATAAAGGCATTAGAACTACATATATTGTACATGCTGCTTTAAAACTAAATGTGATGTATGTGAAACTAACATTTAATTTTGGAAAATGTATGGATTTATTTTTTGTTTTGTATAGCTCAAAGAAGTCCAGATGTTGAAAAATCTGAAAAGGAAGAATGCTAAGGTAAACATATATGTGATTAATCATATAATCATACAGCACTAACATATATAAGACTTGACTTTGGGTTTTATAACCTTTAGAGTTTGTATAAGATGTTTTATCTTTGTAGTCAGGCTTTTATTTGGTTGATCTTTTGACTAGGTAATATTAATATAAGCTAAGCAATGGGGGCCTATGTCAGTCAGCTTTCTATCACCAAAGAAATATTTGAGATAAACTTACAAGAGAAAAATGTATTTTGGCTCCTAGTTTTGAAGGTTCCCATCCATGATTTTTTGACCCTGTTGCTTTTGGGCCTGTGGCATGGCAGCACATTCTGAAAGGAGCATTTGACAGAGCAAAACTGCTTGCTTTTCTGAGCCACAGAACAAAATAGAGCAAGGAGTGGGCTGGAGTCGCACAGTATCTATTAAGGGCACACCCTCAATGATCTAAAGACCAGCAGCTAGGCTATACTTCCACAGTCTTGTGTTCTCTCTGCACTTCTAATACCAGGCACAATGTACATGGCAGTGCTCATTCACATGAATTTAACAAGGAAATTATTGTATTACCTAGATGATTTCCGATATGGAAAAGAAAAGGCAGCGTTTGATTGAAGTCCAGGATGAACTGCTTCGGTAAGATAATACCAAAATCCTGTTTGAGAATTATCTAAAAGGAAAGTAGAGTGGCATTTGGGAAAGTGATATTTGCTGCTGTCATATTAAAACCCCCAGGTTATCTTTGAGCTTAGATGTTCAGCAGAGACAGGTTATGCTGCCTAGTTGCCAAACCTTTTAGCAAAGGAAAACTCAGCACCAATCTACCTTCCAACATCTCAGCTCTGGCCTCAGGCAGCCTCATTAGAGATGTAATGTGTACCATCTAGACTTAGACTGCCTGTGTTTGAATCCAGGCTCTGCCACTTACTGGTTATGTAACCATGGACAAGTTGCTTTCAAAGCCTCAACTCTTTTATGTATGGGTACCATAATACCCACACTTCACAGGGCAGGGTGGGGGGGATTGAGTAAATATATGGAAAGTGCTTCACGGTGACGAGCACACTAAGTGCTCTATATTGTTGAAACGTACATCCTGGATCAGCATCATGTGCATCTGTATTCCCCAGTGTTGGGCTAGAAGATAACTTTGCAGGCCTGGGCGTTCCCTGACGGCTGGTTAGGAAGATGGGAATACACAGGAACCTGGCAGTCTACACATATTTTTTGGCCCTCTTCAGAGGCCAAGACTGCTCTGTGAGCTGGAGGAAAGCAGGATTAGCTATGTTCTCTGCTTTTCAGGCTTGAGAGTGCTGGGGGGGCGGGGCATAGCCAGTGGTAGTGCTTACCTAGCAGGTGCAAGATACTGGGTTCAGTGCCTAGCACCACAAAAACAGCTTCAGAAAGAACATGGTATTAACAGGAAAGACAGTGCACGAAGAAAAGACTGCCATAGGATTTAAGAGAGGGAGAAATTGGTTGTTCCATTTGTTTCCAGATTTAGCCTAGGGACAGACAGGTCCAAACCAAAATAAGAAAATTAAAGGTAATGTAATAATGATGGTAACACTTAAAAGCTTTCCATGTGGCAGGGCACTTTCCTAAGTGCCTTGTTAATCCATTAGTCATCTCCTAATGCTATGAGATAAATTATTATAACTATTTACATGGCTCTTTTATGCTTGCCATCAGTGTGTGATCATGTGATGTATTTTTTAAAAATTTTGCTACTTTTCTAGATATAATTTGAGAAATTGGAGAAATATTTTGAAAAGGCATAGTAAGAAATAGTGTGGTATATCCTGGTTTTACCTCTGCATGTGAAAACCCCAGGGCACAGGAGAGTAACTGCCACTGTCACACCTCTAGGGAGCCAGGGAGCCAGGATTGGCTGGCAGCAGACAGCCTCCAGTCCTCCACCCCTGACCGCAGCCCTGCCAGCTTCACCCTGACTTTTCAAGAATGTTCATTTGTTCAGTGTGAAGAGCTGTTGAAAGCACTTTTCTTTTATAAAATTACATTAGAACATAGTTTATATCCTTATTTGGCAAAGTAAACACTGACATCCTTTCCTCTTTAGTTACTGGCCCATAAACTCTATTATCCCCTTTACTTCATAGGTGAAGAAACCCAGCCACTGAGAGCTGAAACAGTTGGCCAAGGTCACACCTTTTTCATCTAGGCCCTATGACAGTTTTTCCATTGATTTATTAGACAGTGGAAAGTGGACAGTTTTGATAGAAAACTTTTTGTCCAGTTTCGCTGTTAAATAGCAATGCTTGCAAGCTATAAAATGTAACCAAGTTTATCATTTAATTCAGTAGCTCCCAAGATGTACATGACTTGATAGATTTAGCATATATAAGGCATATTCTTCTGTGGGGGTCCCTGCTATTTGTTCATTGTACATCATAGTTCAGAGGGTTTTTTTAAACCTAGACTCTTTCACTATTCATAATTTGAGCTGGGATGGGACCACATGGCCTAATAAGGCGTCTGACTTTGGATCATAATTTCAGAGCCAAAGATAAATCATCTAGTCCACCTCCCCTGGTTTTCATACTTCACTCAGTATACTTATGGAGTCAATCTTATACCGAGTTGCACTTTAGTATGTGTCATTTATTTGGGGGTAAAATACGAATTTTTATTCTAGGTTAGAACCACAGCTGAAACAACTACAAACAAAATATGATGAACTTAAGGAGAGAAAGTCATCCCTTAGGAATGCCACATATTTCTTATCTAATTTAAAACAGCTTTATCAAGATTATTCAGATGTTCAAGAGAAAGAACCAAATGTAAAGGAAACAGTAAGTTTGATTTTTACTTTTTATTGTGCCTCAGACTGTAGAGGACATGTGCATGCTACAGTACTGGAAGCTTTGGTAAGATAAAGGAACACCATCACTATAAATCTGAAATTTTATTATCACCATTTTTTAGCTTCTTAATGAAGGCTTAGTGAGTGGAAAAAAAAAATCCAGAACTAGTGATTTTTTAAAAAGATATTTATACTTCATAGAACTGAATTTCATCAAGGGAAATGTATACTCTTGTGTAAAAATCTAAGTTGAACAACCATCTTCTTTCTTAGAATTTTTATCAACACAGATCACTCAGACATACTCAAAAGACCAACCTCTTTTGCTTAAATTTAGCCCAAGTTCACAGTATCTTCTGTCTGAAAAATAAGATGTTATTCCACATGAGTGGCAGGTGTGGTTTTCTGGGGTTGAGAAACACAAAAGAAATGGTAGGAAAAATGTTATATGTTATTGTTTTAATAAACTTTGCAGCTGCTTCTGGAATTTTACTGCTACTGTTGACACTCAGTCCAGATTAAATGTTTTATAGAAAAAATTTGTATATTTGTATACCCTAAAATGTAATCAAATATATAATAAATATAATTTTATATAAAATGTAT